TGTTGTTTTCGGAAATGCAGCCATCACTGATTCTTGTTGCCACGATCTTGTTCAAGAAGGAAAAGTGTGTCATGATAATCTTATTAAATATATTGCTGACAGACCCGCCTTAATTGCCCGTGAAACACAATACTTGAAGAAGAGTGACGACTTGTGGAGTCATTGTGTCGCAATCTCTAAAACTGCTTAAAATATTTTTATCGAATAATTTCATTGCTGTACCATTATTTCTATCCGAACTATCCATTAATTTAACTTTTCAAAACATAAATGAAAATGAATCTCTTTAGAGATGAATAACCAACTCTTTAACTTTTTTAAAAAAGAAAAGAAAAATATGATCTTATATAAATTATAAATATAATCATAAAATTATATATTAATGAGAAATATATGTTTGTCTACTAAATTTCTATTTATATTTATGTATAAATTTTGACACCAATTGTATACTTCCATCACATTTCTACATTTTATTATGGATAGTGACATATATTATTTTTCTCAGTTTCAAGAAACAAGAAAATATAAAAAAATTTTATCTTATCTTAAGCTCCAGTTCCTTAACTCAAAATCTTGTACTAATCACCAAAATTAAATTTAAACACACAATATATCAACCAAATTTGAAAGTGAAACAAAAACTTGAAGAGGTTTTGCTAATTCAAATAAACTGAAGATCCAATCATGTATCTACAAGAAATTTATCTGTAAATTACTGTTAGAATAGACTAGCTGGGGAAAACATTGATTAGAGCTAGTGGATTAGGTTAACATTGAGATTATTGCCTACTTAACCATTAACCTCGCTCAATTTTAACTAGTTCTTATTTTTTACCATGATTTTAACCTATGATTTAAAGTTATGTTATAATTTGATTTTACAAATTAGTTTCTCTTCTCCATAGTAAGGAATCCTATAAGTAATTTTATTATCCCTCTAGTTAGAACATATATATCCTTAATTAGTTTCTAAGATTTTTTTGTTTGTAATAATTAACAGCCGACCTGCAATATATCTATGTCTTAATACAAACTTGTCAATAAACTGTAAGCTTTTTCCATTTATTCTAAAAGTATTTAGCACAACTTTTATATGTATACAACATATGTGGATCTCATGTTCTTTTTGGAGATATTTAAATTAACCTTATTTTAGTGCCTTATAACGTTGTACTATAAACATATTGGTGACTTGTTTTACTCGTTTAGATACAAACTTTATTGGACGCTTGATTTTAGTCAAAACAATTTTAAAACTTAATTATGAGGTAGCCTTTTATATATAAAATTATATATATATATTTATAAGCATAGAATATTGAAAATTTAGTACACTATATTTAAAATCTATATCTGTCATATACTAATCTCAAATTGAATGGTTTGGCTTATAAGTTACCTGATTTA